ATGTATAGCTTACTTTTGTTTAATAAAGCGCACGCAACTAGCCTGACAGAGGGTAAAAAAAAAAAAAAAAAAAAAAACATATTCAACCTTCAGAAAATAATTATGATACTGAAAGGTAAGCAATGGATAAGAAAAGAAGATCCAACTTCTATTTCTTACTAAGTTCCTTAGATAGTGAAAAGGTTTTCTTGGATAAAAGCTGAGGTCTCCAAGCTTCTATTCTGATTAGGCAAAGTTCTTGAAAAAATTTCTTTATTCTGGTCAAGCAAACTCTTTCATAATATGACATTGGCTCTAGTAACATTAAGTGAATCCGTATATTGGCAGAAGGATAAGTTTCTCAAACATTCTTCTTGAAGTCACTTTCAAGAATAATTAAGTTCCTCAAATGTCATGAAGCTTAAAGAATATTCCAATCAGGCAAACCCCTTTTGAGAGGAAACTGTGAAATAGAGCAAGAACTTTTTGAAAGGTTTTGAATTGGTTTTTTTCTTTTCTCCTTTTTTCCTAGTACCAATTTTAGCAATTCATCATTTTTCAGGATAATTAACAATAACAAACTGTTGACAATGATTCTGATTGACTTAGAGGCTAATGCCAAGTTATTAGAAAAGCAAAATATTGTTACCAAAATCTGATTTAGAGTACCTAGTTTAGACTTAGTTTTGTTTAGTCCAAACTAGCTTATTGAACTCCTCATATTTTTTAAGTAGTGTAATCCTTTAACTAATAATATACAACAATGAGTTAATCACTTTGTGAAAGTCTGTAAACTTTGTGATATTTTTCAATATCTAATAAAGACATGCCACTGTGGCATGATTGCAGGTTAAAAAAAAAAAAAAATTAATATACAATATAAATCAATAAAAAAGTTATGCTTTAACAAAAAATAAAAAATATTTTATTAAATATTTTTAAGCAATAATAATATACAGTAAGTTTCAGTAAGTTTCGTTAATACAGTAATAAATTTGACAAAATAAATAAAATAAATTAACTTCATGAAAAAATCTCTGCAGAGATGGTGATCTGCCTATTTTGGATTAGTTCTCGAGCTAATCACACTATACTTAACAGAATCTTACCATACCTCCAATTTGTGACACCAAAATAGCATAGCGTTATACATAATAACTTTAAACGGCACATCTTTTTGTTAAAAAAACCAAATTTTTTAGTGTATCTTTTCTTAATTACCTCATTTTTATAAAAAGTTCGATATATATTTCTTATCTTCGTTCTTAATTATGTCTACTTCTGCAATTTCGAACTACTTCTCTTCGGTCAAAAACTTGGACACCGAGAATCTTATTATTTTTTTGCGCGAACAAAACTTAAACCTTGATGAGGACGATTTTAGAATTCTTCACAAACAGAAGATGGATGGTCAAATCTTCTTGGAAATGACCAAAGAAAAGTTCATGGAAGATGGAATGAAACCGAAGTCTGCTATAAAACTTGAAAATCAAGCGAAAGTTTTCAAAAAGGGCAGAATCGAATACTTTTGGCTCTTTTCATGTGATGTATGGTCTAAACAGCATTTTACAGTATATCCTGGTCCACCAATATTTTTGGCCCTGTCTAGAGAAATGTAGCGCATACAATATTTTACAATACTTTATGTATTTTTCGTGATGATTCAAGCATCTCACCAGAGATTCTTGAAGTTGTTAATCTTTTAATTAAGAAAAAGATATGCAGTTTTATTTTATGGCCTAAACACGCATTTTTCAGACAAGATACTGTATATTTTAAGTACAAGAAGCTTTCGCTTGGGGATTTATAATCTCTCGGTTATTGCAGTACTTTAGCATAATCATTCTGTTCGATTTAGTGAGATTATTTGATGATAAAGTTCAAATGTTTCTGGAGGAATCGGTTATTTACCTTCCTTTTAATAAAAGTGCACTAATTAAAAATACTTGGTTGTCACTTCTGGTAAAACCTTATTTATTTACCCTAATAATGATATTTTTTACTGGGGATTTATATAGGTTAGCAGAAAAAAAAGTTCGTAAACGGATACTATAACCGACAAGAAATGGTATAGAGATCAATCCCTTTAAAATCAGATTCGTCAGTTTTTTCTGCTCCTGTTGCTAAAATACGAAGAAGTATCAGCATGTTTTTGTCAATTCACGTGAATTTTCTTGATTCAAGTTAAATTTTTTAAATAAAATAAATTTGACTTTTAGCACAATAATAAAATGTTCCATTTCGACTGATAAACATCCAGATAGTTTGGTTAAAAGTATATTAAAGTCTTTAAATTATTAAGTTTATGGAAATTTATTAAAAAGGAAAAAATTGTTACCGAAATGTAATGTGTTTTCTTAATAAATTATTTTTATAATTTAAAAACTTTTTCTGCTGATTCCCGGTTTCCTTAAAAATTTTTTTTTTGTAATATTTTTGGAAATCAAGAAGCCAGCCTCCAATATCTAAGAAACATATAGTCTAAAAACAACAACAGCTTGCCACCAAGTTTCAAAATACTATAGGATAAGTATTAGAGAAAAATTATTACAGTATAGTTTTTCTTTATGGAGAAAAGAAAACTTCAAGAAAACTGATTCACAGTAAGCTCCTGGAGGCTTAACCTCAACTTCACAAAGCTCTCAGCCAGGCCAGTGCAGATTAACACTTTTCTTGACACTAAGAGAAGCACTATAGGCAATAATTTCAACTGATAAATCAGTTAAAGCTTAGAATCTACAACACCTAAAAAGATATTCAAGCCTCAATTACTTAATCGTAGAGAGTAATATAAATAACACAACAATATGAATATGTTATATTTGCCAGTTTGAATAGCAACCCACTTACATGTCTAATAAAAAACTTGTTTATATATTTTTGCTTTATATTCATATGTGATAGTAGCTGGCAACAACATAATAGATCTAAAAATAGTAACACAGCTTACAATTACCAGATAAATACCTTGTTTACATAAACAAGAGTAAATAAAAAAATAAACAAATAAGTACTACTCAAATAAGTAAGAAATAATTATAAAAACCCTTGTGCTATCCAAAACAGCAATTAATAAAACATATCAACATCATATATAGCAATCTATTCTTCATATTACATGATCAATATGTCTATAAGAAAACAAAAACTCTTATAGGTCACTAAGAAAAGAGAAACATATATTATTGAAAATTTAGTTCAACTAATAAACAAGTATAATCAACAAAGAAAATTATAAACCTTACAAACTTTTTTGAATATTATTTCAACTCAAGAAATTATTACAAATCCAGTTTCAGGTAATAATAGATTCCTAAAGTATTTAGTATATAAAATTTCACAGATCACTTATGTCCTTTTTTGAGGAACAAAATTCATAGCTCTTCACTTTAATAGGGACAAAAGTCAGGAAATGATATAAATCAATAATTTAGATAATGGAAAACAATCATGGATAGTTTTTTTTTATAGTTATTAATTTAAAAATTTTAATATTTTCTAGTGAGAGACATTTGATGTATATCCCTGTCTCCCCCTTTAGGGATCTATTTTTAGTTTCAGGTTCAACTAGATACTCAATTATTGATAGTATCATCATTAAAATTTTGAATGTTGATCATACTACCTTCATAAAAATTAATATTCTTAGACAATATATTCTTTATTTATAGATTATAGGACAAGAAAAAGAAGAAGATCTTTTAGTTTCCTTTTTAGAAGACAAATACCTAAATATGATAAAATAGGTAAAATAAATATAATACATTTTACAACCATTATCAATAAATCAGTCAATAGTTAGAAGTGATTTTCTATTAACAATTTATTTGATAAGGTAATGGTCATAAAAGTTTAAGCAATTATATTAATTGAAATTTTGATTGTTGTTGAAGTCAAAATAAGAGACAAAGAATTAAAAGACAAAATTGAAATAGAAGTTATTGATAAAAAATTAGAGGGAATAATATAGCTGAACAACAAATATATAAAACAAGAAATAGGAAAACATCTAGTATTAATCCATATCACATCAAGAAAAATAGAGATTTCAAAATAGATATATTTACCTTAAGACTTTCAAGAAAAATTGAAACAGAACTAAAAACATATCTCCAGAACACATTAAGCTTACAAAAAGACTTTTATCACTTCATAAAAGAATTTATCAATAGCAATACTTGAACAATATTTAACTATTAAAAGAAAAAAGATATATTAAGATACCTTAAAAAAATTAACAGAAAGAAGAAAGACAATTTTACCATTATATCCCTAGAAATAAACAAATAGTTAAGTTCTAGCCAACCATCAAACAAAAAAATGTTTCAGAAAACAAAGGAGGAAAATAAAATATTACTGGTAATTACCTTGATAAATATCAATTGAAATTACTCATGTTATGAAATCAAGGTAGTTCTTAATCAATATTGATAAACAACAAATATTCATATTTACAATCATTTATAGTCACAATTAGGGATTGCAACAAATCTGATCAAATCGGATTTTAGGTTAATCTGATCTGAATCCGATCAGATCAGTTTTTATTTGATTCGATCTGAATCTGAACAGATTTATTTTTATATAATCTATATCCATTTGATTAATCTGATATTTTTTTAACTGTTTTTTTTTTTTAATTTATTTATTCGTTTTTCCCTATCTAATGTTTACTTGCTATCTTTAAGTTTTATATATAAACATTTGGTTAATAATTTATATTTTTAATATGTATAATTTATTGCCATTCATGATTATTTTCTTTTAAATTAAAATATATACCTGTATAATTTAAATTTTCTACAGTACTGTTATTGCCTTGGTTTTTTTTTATCAATTCTTCTAGTGCTAGCAAAGTAGAAGAATCTAGTTGCAATTGCTCTTGCTGATACTTTATATGTTTTTCTTTTATAGTACCTTCTTTTCATTTTTTAATTGTTATTACCATTTTTTTTGTCAGGTTTTGTAATAAACCACTAGTTATACCTTCCTTCGGTAAAACAGTTGTGCCATGTAGCTCTTTTTCTGGCCAGCAAAAAAGAGTGTTGCATTGTATAAAAATTTAAATAAAAACTTAGTATTTTATATTCTAAACTTTTTTATTATTTATATAAAAATACCTGTCATCTTTACTTTTATTCCCTATTTAGTCATGTAAAAGTTGCCTCCATCGAAATCCCCTTCTCAGCAAGTAAATTCTGGATCACTTTTGGAGTGAATTCTTCTCAGGTAGCTGGCTGCATTTGCATAGTCCAGGAAATTTGTATCGATATAGGCAAATTTCTATATCTCCAAGATGCATATGTTTCACAGAGACCCAAGGAATGGTTAAGTTTGATTTCCTTATTGTTATAAAAAATTGAGATACCTTTTTTGACTGCTCCATACTTGTTTCCATCTAATCTTGGAAGCCCATGCTCAACAATTTTTTACTGTATACTCAAAGTCACATCAACAGGAAAAATACTCATTGCATAGTTAAACAGGAGGCTGTTTATCACGACAACTTTTTCTTCATGCAGGTACTGCTGGCTTATTCCTCATAACTCTTTCGGTATATTGAAAACATGTATAAAAATTTTATATTCCCTTGTCGACAGGTACCTAAAACTTGCTAGCAGTACTGATCAAGTATAAAATTAAACATATATAAAATTTATATACCTAGCAGTTGCCAATGCTTCTTGATTAAGTTTCGATATACTATCAGATCGGGCAACCCTTATTCGTAGTTGAAACATTTTCAACACTATATCTTGCATGATATTTAAAACCTTGGATTCAATCTGATTACGATATGCAGCAAGTACTACCTTGCCTGAATCTTTGTCACGAATTATAATTTCTTCAATTTTTTTTATTACATTTGGCAGGCAGGAGGCAGCTTCGATGGCTTGTACATATGAAGGTAGTGGATTTACTTTTTCGTATATTCACTTTTCTTTGATTTTTTTTTTTGTTATATCCAGGCAGGGGCTCAAAAAATATCATTTTTATTTCATGTGTATCGGCAAAGTGTTTTTGTGTCATCAGGTTCTCACTTACCTGAAATATAAATGTATTAACTTAGTTTTTTATTTTTAAAACTTTTTGAACTTACAAAATTTTTATGTATTTTTATTTTATTTTTTTTCAATTCGTCAATGTCTACTTTCAAAGCAGCTGCAGTTTCTATATCATCAGCATGGCAATATCTCAAGAACCTCACAAATTCTCTTCACCAATTTTCCTAATTTTTTATTAGCATTAGTAAAATATATACAGCAAGTACATATACTTTGATATATTTACATTTGAAAAAGAATCGATATTAAGGTCAGACACAGCCAGGTAAACACTTGTTAATTTAGTGGAAGGATTTTGCAAGCAGGCAACATACTCCTCTGGTTTATCATTTTTCAATGACATAAGGAAATGTAGAGCAGCAGTATAAATTTCTATATATATTTAAAAAACAGGTATTAGCTATATATATATATGTACAACTTGTTAGTGCAACAGGAAATCAAAAACCTAGCTACAAGTTAAATTGTCAACAATCCAACTTGCAGCCTCAAATGCCTGCTTAAATATTCGAGAGCCCTGCTTTAGTCCAGAGTTTCCCACTGGAGGCAGCAGC